AAATGGCAGGCGTCTTGATGGTTATCAGTAGCCATTTAGTTGACTTCAGGCTTCACAGAGCGGAAGGAACATCAAATTGAAAAAAGTCGAGAGGGGGGGGGGCGGAACAGAAGAGTGTTTCAAAGATGTAAGAGACAAACACAAAGGTAGAAAAAAAGGTGAGATGAGTACTTTGAAATAGTCGAATATAGCATAGAGTGAGGTGATGGTGGTTTGAAGTGAGAAGTCAACTGCCAGTCAATAGACTTTTTTGCCGTATGAGTATACGTTACCCAGGGTGCACCACGTGGAGGTAAGTCTATCGCAAACCCCAGTCAAGGTATCATCTAACTCTCCTTTCACTCTGGCCGAGGAATTAGGAGGGTTCAATTGGGATAGCACCTTGTTTGATGTTGGTTGACACTGCAAATATTTGTAACATGTTTTTTTCTTTATAGGTGTAAATATTCTCATAGTGGCGCACGCAGCTTCCCTGGATTCATGCACTCGAAGCCTTCTACGGAAGCGTTTCCGTAGCGGTGGAAGCGGAAGTAGCAGTAGTACCAGTTCAAATGGAAATGCCAGTGGATTGACTAATGGAAATAACAACGGTGGAAACTTTATTTCAACTTCAAATTGTGTAGGATTGAGCGATATTGAGGAGTTGCATCGACGCGCTCCTGTACCCTACTGTGGTCTCCTTTGTGCGGTTGAGGGAAGTCGAAAATGGCGCATTGAAGAGCCTCCTATACCCTCTCTTACCCATGGTCAAAATACCGACTTCGATTGGCGCCAATTTCATGGTTCATCTATTTACAGTTTTGGGTTTAGATAATCCCACTCGCATCTTCTCTCTTTATCCAATCGCGCATCAAACCGGATGTCTTTCATTCCTCCCTACATATTTGTTTTTCGGCTTTATTTTAAGTGAATGAAAAAAACAGCTCTACTCCTGCCCACTTTTCCCAAATCGATAAAGGCGCCGAACCCGAAAATGCTATTGTTAATAGTTATTATTGATATGTAATAACGCTCTCTCCTATAAAATACAGCCATGCGAATAAAAGAAAAGGCATGTATTTTCGCTCTTTTTGTTGAACAATTGTGGAAGAAGCGAGCCTTTCACTACCGCCTCCCTGAACCAATCAGAAAAATATGGCCTTGGGTGTCTGCTTTATGTAAATTGTTAAAGCATATTTGAAGGGTCGATGTGAAAGTCGAAGGAGAAATGCCCTTGATTTCAAGTCATTAAGTCCTGCTGGCAGTAAAGTTAATGAATTACCTCCGATGAAATAAACACAGGAAAATGGTGATGGAGTTTTGCCTTTCCAGTTTTAATGAATTCTGCCTAATGCCTCGTTTTTGGGTCCAATCTATTTGTTGCTAGCTTAATGGCCTGCTTGTTAGGCAATTTATTACAATCAGGAATTGAGAGCAATGTGACGGTACATATTTGGCACCCAGTCTCCTAGTATTTCTATGATTGGTGGCCTCCCCTGCCCATTAGTTGCAATTCGCTTGACATCCGAAACAATTTGCATTTGTACTTGCCAAAATGTACCCTCTCTCCCCCCCCTCTCTCTCTCTCTCTCTCTCTGAAAATTTTGAAATTGATTCTCAATATGGTAAAATAGGTACTTTCTTGTCTTGAGTAATTAATTCACCTCTCTGCCATCAAGATGTGTGCATATTTTGATCCTGTGGTAGCACTGATGGTTTAGACAAGAGGCAAGAGTAGTCTTCATCGGGTTCTACATTCCATAACTGGGGTGTGCGATAGACTTACCTCCACGAGGTGCACCCTGGGCAACGTATACTCATACGGCAAAAAAGTCTATTACCTGGCAGTTGACTTCAAACTACCATGACCCCACTGTATGTCATATTCGACTACTTTCACAGTACTCATCCCACCTTTTTTCCACCTTATCTACCTTCGTCTTTGATACGCTCTTCTGTTCCCCCCCCCTGCCATTTGATATAATAATAATAATAACATTTCATAACTAAAGTTTCCATAACTCCGATCATTCGGATTGTGCAATGCAACCTCCGGACAAATCAGACATGAACTGAGAAATTCAAAGATTCCATTTAGTGTAAATTATGTACACAAATGGAAATAACGCTCATAAGTATTGGAAAAAAGGCTCT